GTGGTTTGTCGGGAAGACAATCTGATTTTACTGTCAAATTTGTAGGACTTGTGTAATAGCCTTTTTTTATTTTTTGCTTCTGTCCATATGGAGTGAATATTGGGATCAAATCACTAAAATCTACTAATGGATGAAATGCTTATAATGTAGTCAATTTCGTAGGCTTAGCAATTTACAAGAGCAGTGATGGTATCACAAAAACCACAAGACATTTCTAGAAAGTAAAAGGCAACTAAACTGCTTCTCTCAATCATCTCCTTGCATGAGCATTTGGCAAACTGTCGCTGCTTCTGACTGTTGTCTTTTCAAAATATAAGAACTTGGCATGTCACTCTTTACTTCATGATCATTTGTGCCCTGTTCTCCTTTTGAAATCATGACTGTTTCTGTTTTAAGATTTTGAAATCATAGTTGTTTAATCCATAGATTTTAGAGACAGTTTCATTTTAATGTGAATGCACTTCAATTGACCCCACTTGCTTAAATGATGTGAAATAGCTCAGCAATGCTCCCATGACTTGTTTTATACCTTTTGATAATTTATATGATCTCTAATCAGTTGGACAGATAATAAGTGAAGCCCTGGCACCTGCTTGCCAATGCCACTCTGACACCAAGTCTGGTGTTAGCAGCACGGATGAGGGGGAGAAGGCCATGAGGAAGCTGGAGACTGACCCGACTGGAGGTAAGGGTACATCATTACCTAAGAAAGACCTTCAAAATGCTCTGTCTTTCATCTCCCTAGCCTAATATCTTCCTTCTGCCACTGTTTTTGCCTCTCATCTAATGAATAAGATAGCAGGAAGTGGCAGAGAGGCCTAAAGAAGAGCTTTAAAAGTGACATAAGTTGTGAATGTTATTCTCTTTTGAACACATGGCTACCAAAGATAAACTATAAAAGAGTTTTAGACTCTCATGTCGTGGTAGAGATCTTCAGATCAGCCTTATTTCGTAGTCTATCCTCTCATTTGCAGCAGGGATAGGTGGATTTGCCTTTAATTGGCCCGGTTGGAAACATCAGGAGCCATAGAATATGACATTTCACAATGGGTCATGGAAACGTCTCATTCTTTTTTTAATTAGGAAAAGAATATGAGCTGCTTCTTGGTGGAGAGCGTTCTACCCTTAAGACTGCTGATTAGAATGATTCAAAAGACCATGCCTCCTACATTTCTATGCAACCTACTATGCCCTTGAAATCAGGCTGTCTCTCCTAGATAGTGAAGGACTTTTGAAGAGTATTCCCATTTGAATATGTGTATATATATGTGAGAATGTTTGTTTTACTTCCTCATTATGGTCACATTACCCAATCTCTAATTTTTTAATAATTATCAAACGCTATGACTGAGTCATTTAGGATTTTTGTCGGTTGTGGAGCTTGAATTCAGGGTTGGTGCTGTCCTTGAGCCTCTTTGAGTTCAAGGCTAGAGCTTTGCCACTTGAGCCACAGTACCACTTCTGGGTTTTGAGTGGTTAATTGGAGATAAGAGTCTCACAATGGCTTTTCTGCCAGGGCTGGCTTTGAACTATGATCCTCAGATCTCAGCCTCCTGAGTAGCTAGGATTAGAGGAGTGTGCCACTGAAGGTTGGCTCATTTGGGATTTTATACTACTCTTGGACAAATAACTTAGCCAGCCCCCAAGTTCATGGGCAGCGGTAGAAATGAAACAGTCTCCTCTTCTTAGGCAACATGAAAAAGGCCAGAATAAGCTGTGTTTTGCAAGAGAATGACTTTGAGTTTTGACCAGGCATTTCACTAGAGGAATTGCAGTATATTTCCCCCAAAATTTTACAGCTCAACCATAGTAGCAGTTATTGGTGAAATCTGAATGAAAAAAGAATGTCTAGTTAATTTTATGTAGTGGGAGGAGAGGGTGGAAGGAAGGTTTGTTATAGTTGGCTGTCATGCCTGGCACAGTACTAATCACATAACATGAATGATCTCATTGGCCACTTCAAAAATTCTGAATCAAGCATGGTTATTCCTATGAAATGGATAAGAAAATGAAGGCCTGGGGAGGCAGGGGAGGTATGGGAAGGGATGGGAAGAGGAAACAAAGGAAGAGGCAACAATGTTTGATAAGAAATGTACTCATTATCTTGCCCATGTAATTGTAACCACTCTGTATGGTATTTTCACAATAAAGAAGAAAGAAAGAAAGAAAGAAAAGAAAGAGAAAGAAAGAAAGAGAAAGAAAGAAAGAAAGAGAAAGAAAGAAAGAGAAAGAAAGAGGAAAGAAATGAAAGAAAGAAAGGAAAGAAAATGAAGGCCTAAAAAGGTGCTGTTTCCTAATTTTATGCATCCAACCAGTGACAAGCATAGCATTCTTACCAGGTTTATGTGATCTTCAAATATTCATTGCACTAAATCAAATTACCCATTTGTGACTACTGCTTGTTCTATGTTATATATTTTTCAAAAGCTCAAAAGACTACCATCAAAACATATATGTGATTTTCCTAGTGATAATATTTAAAGGTTTCAATTATTATTTGTCCCTCACTTCAGGAATGTCATGTCTCACTTCCCTGTATTGTATGTGTGTGTGTGTGTGTGTGTGTGTGTGTGTGTGTGTGTGTTTCTGTGTGTATGTCCACATAATGATAGCTCAGCTGGATTCCATTAATACTTTCTCCTCCAGAATTTAGATGTGGGATATTATTACATGGTGACTAGACAATTTTATTCCTCTGTTTTCCTGAGAGATCTTTAATTAATCCATAAATTTAGAGTCCAGGTTAGAAAAATAGAGGACTTTACTTAAATATTTGTTTTAACTGGCTTTTAAATAATACCTTCCTGTGGAAATTTGAATAGCAGCATATTTACTATTAAAACTGATTGACACACAATGCTGTTTCTCATTGTTGCAATGTAATTGTGTTTTAAATCCAGCCATAATCTGTAGTGAAATAAAATGAACTATAATTTCTCAGGTGATTTGGCTATATGATCTCGCAGTAAACAGTTTGTTTGACATTTCTCTGTAGGCGCTTTTAAGGACAATTTGGGAAATAATTGCTGTGATTTACAGAGGGCTCTCTATAAAAGTCACCTTCAACCCCATGGACTGACATGAAATTTCTAGATCTACACCTTTGAAAGAAGACATCAAAAATTTCCTTCCAATTATATGTTTTAAGCAAAATGTCATGTCAGCTATTATTGTCTTACATAAAATGGCTGAGGGAACACAACAAAGAATGCTCATGTTTTGCATTAGAAGAAGTAATAGAAAGGTAACAGTTCTGTATGGTTGTGAGAATAAGGAAATACGGGCAGATTTAGATTTCCTTTAGACTTCCATGACAGAATTGTGGGTAAAGATTCTAGTCAAGCCGGGCGCCAGTAGCTCACGCCTGCAATCCTAGCTACTCAGGAGGCTGAGATCTGAGGATCACTGTTCAAAGCCAGCCCGGGCAGGAAAGACCGTGAGACTCCTATCTCCAATAAACTACCCGAAAACCGGAAGTGACGCTGTAGCTCAATTGGTAGAGCGCTCGCCTTGAGCTGAAGAGCTGAGGGACAGTGCCCAAGCCCAGAGTTCAAGCCCCAAGACCGCCAAAAAAAAAAAAAAAGATTCTAGTCAAATTCGGCATAATGGTTCATGCCAACAATCCCTCACTTAGGAGGCAGAGATGAGAGGATTGTGATACGGAACCCACGGTGGATTAGATTGCAACACTAAATCTCAAAAAAAATATTTTGGAGGTTGATATCCTGGTGTAAGGTACTTACTTTATAGCATCTATCCCTTGTGGCTTTAAATGAAAAAAATAGATTAAAGGAAATTATTTCAATGACCGGTTTTGAAGTTCTTAGCCACTTAAGTACTCAGTTGGATTTTTTAAAGCTTTGGTTATTTGGAATGATACATCATTATGTTTCATGCATCATCGAGACACCAGCAGGTCAGGTCTGTAATCCTAGCTGTTCATGAATCTGAAAATGGAAATAGATTGGTTTGAGGCCAGCCCGGGCAGAAATGTTTGAGTGACTCTATCTTGAAAACTACCAGCATAAAACAGGATTGGAGGTGTGACCTAAGTGGTAGAGAGCAAGCCAGGAAATTCAAGGCCCTGAGTTCAAATCCTAGTACCATTAAGAAATAAAAATTTTAAAGCAGGAAAGAAAAAGAGATCTAGTCTAATACTCATCATTCAGGAAAAAATACATAACAAGGCTAAATAACAAGAAACAAGACTGTAAAAAGGTAACATAGCAAAACTGTAATTATTGAATGTGACAGCTAATACCCTGAGGTTTGCCAGGAAATCACAGAGGAGAATTTATGAAATACTTCAGGAACATAGCGTATGTAGAAAATTGTCCTAGATTATAAAATCCTGTCTTGCTCTGTGATCTTATTTTGCCAAAGGCATATTCCTTTTCTGATTTGAGACAAGAGGTATCTTGATCTGTAATATAAATTGGTGTCTTTAGTAAAAATGTCTTACCTTGAGCTATATTTTTGATGACTAAATCTGGACATAATGGCTTTAAAGTATGGGTAAAATAATATAATCACCACATCTATGTTATGATTATATTGCTAAATGCACATTGTAAGTAGAAGAAACAGTCAGAAAGCAGTCATGACATTGTAGGGAATAAGGATGATTTAGTTTTTCTTATTAGATAGTTTTTTCTACAAGTAATATTTCAAGTTAAAGTAAGATGGCTAGGTTTATGTGTATGAGAGAGAGAGAGAGAGAAAGAGAGTTGTGAAATTTATTGATTCTTAAAGATTAGGGACTTGAGGGTTATTCATTGTTGTTAGTTCATTTTCAAGATCCTTGATGTTCAATCCTTCTTTAATGTGTCCATTACAGTACATTAAAAACATTTTTGTTTGGAATAAGAGACATTATATTATGATTCATGTTATAGTGAAAGGCATCATGGAACTAAGGAAATTGTGCGTGTGTGTGTGTGTGTGTGTGTCTGTGTGTGAGAGAGAGAGACAGAGACAGAGACAGAGAGACAGAGAGATAGAGAATGAGTCTTGGCTTAAGCACTGTCCCTGAGTTAGCATAAGACTAGCACTCTACTATGTGAGCTAGCTCTACTTCTAGTATTTTGATGTTTACTTGGAGAAAAGTTTTATGGACTTTCCTACCTGGGCTGGCTTTGAATACTGATCCTCAGATCTTAGCCTCCTAAGTAGTAACTAGGATTACAAGGAAGAGCCATTGGCATCTGGCATGAAATATCAAATGCTCATGCCCCCTTGACAAAATAGAAATACTTTATCTTCTAAAAAGTCTCATGTAACAATATCTTCTCTTTTATCCACTTGGATGGGCATAACCTTACTTTCTAACGTTATTTTTTGTAGCCCTAAAGAAGAATTTCATGGTGGCTGAAAGGGAAGCAGTCAACCCCAACAAGGAAACCAAACAAATTACACCTGATACACATGCACAGAGAATGAAAGAAACCATGGAGGAATGTGAAGCTTCCCAACTGGAGGAGGCAGGCACAGTGGAGGGAAAGGAAGATGTAGCACTGTGGGAGAAGGCAGGGGTCACTGAGGATTCCTTAGGGGAGCAGAACCCAAGAGCAGAGCAGACAGCATTAGCAGAACAGTTTGCTCTGGGCCCAGCAATTGAGACAGAGGCAGAAGCAGAAGGAGATAAAAACCTGGGTATAGAGGAGCAAAACTCCACAGCAGCAGCTTCAGCAAGCACCTCTGAAAATCTGAGTGAAGACGAGTCTGATGAAGAGCAGCCCTCATTGCCATTTGTTTTGGAGTCAGAGGAGGCAGATTCTGAAGGGATGCCGGGCTCAGAGGAGGCCTTTATAACCAACCTAGCACTGAGCTCTGTGTCTCTTCAGGAGGAAGCAGCCCTGAGGGAAAGAGCGTCTCTGGAGATGGGAGAGGCTGAGAGTGGGGAGGCTGAGAGAGAGGATGGATCTAAAAAACCAGGCGTGGCTGAAAGGGATGAGGAAGTCCCCACAGAGTCAGAGAATGTGGGATCTGTAGAGAATGCAGAGAGAGTGTCTGTAGGGAGTAGTTTTGAATATGCAATGCTTGGTGGAGAAGAGCCAGCCAGAGAAAGGAAGGAAGAAATGGAAACAATAACACCCTTAAGTACCTCAACAGGAGAGATAGATACTTGGGAGATGGACATTTCAGAGAGCAGCTCTGAGGAGCTTAGTAGGGAAGGCACAGTGAAGCAGGAGCTTCAAACTGAGGCAGAATCAAGTAGGGAAGATAATAGGCAAGAAATGTTCCCTGAGGAATTAAAGGTAGACAGAGAGAGACAATCCACGCGGCCTAACACACCTCAGTGTGAAACTAGATCTGAGAGAGAAGAGGTGACAAGATCAAGTGCACTTAAGGATGAAGACACTTTAAAAGATGAGCAGAAACTGGAAGAGGAAGACAGAGCAACAGTCAAGGGAGTAAGATCTGAGAAAGAGAAAAAAGGCTCTCACAATAAAATGGAATCTCACACTGAGGAATCAGGGTCTACAGAAGCAATTGAGTTGACTGAAGATACAGGGCTTCTGGAAGATCCACTGAAAGAAAGAATGGAAACCATGTTTGAAGCAACTGGTGGATTTGAAAAGTCACGGGAACAGGTAATAGTTTTGAGCAAAGAAGAAGAAAGGCTAAGTGAAGTGAGAGAGACAGAGCATAAAGACAGAACAGAGTTTCCAGGCCAGAATGTGATTCTGCCAGAGCAAGGGAAGGAGGTCCACTATGGGAAGAGACCATTAGGAACGCCTGAAAGTGAGCCAGCTGGCCAGGGACAGGCACCGGAAGCAACTATTGCAGCCACAGGAAAAGCTGATACAAGTGCAGCCAAAGATCAAACCTGCCTTGAAAGACTGGAGAGGAGGGATGAAGGAGGAACTGCACAAGGCCATACAGGCCAGAATGTGATGGTTGTGAAAATGACCCAGGAAGATGTTCCTAAGGGAAGCCCCACAATGGCAGGAAAGTTCAGGGGAGAAGCCATGGATGAGGTGTACAGGAATTCCAAGTGCACTCTGGGGACTGGAGTAGGGAAAGACAGTAATGTGGAGCGGAGCGACACCATGATGGATGCAGATGGAGACCAAGGAGTGGCAAAAACAGGCACCGAGAAGAGGAGCGTGTGGGTGGGTTCAAAGACAGCTGAGGGGGAAACAGTGGCAAATCAACCCTCTTCCTTTTCAGAGGTTGCTGGAGAGAAACCTTGGCAAGCAGGGAAAGAGGCACTAAGAGAAACAGCAGCTGTGGAGACTGTGGCTACAGAGGAAATAGCTCTGAGAAACGAGGAGGTGCCAGCAGAGGAGGAGGTGACAGTGACACCAACAGCGGACACTGGGAGGGGTCTGACTCATCCAGAAGCTAATTTTCTGAGTGGACAGATACTTACTCAAGGGCAAGATCAAGAAGGAGGGGGCACTCAGCACACAGGGTCAATGGGAGAAGAGGCAGACATGGAAAGCCCTTATGAGAGGCAGGAATCTGGATCAACTGAAGAATCCAGAAAAGGGTCCTCCCCAGATAGGGAGTCAGAGCTGAGCAGAGTGAGGCTAGGGGCAGTGTTAACAAGTCCTATGAAGCCTGGTTTCCCTGGAACCCAAGAGAAGCAAGAGGATACAGTGCAAGAACAAAATGAGCATGCAGATGTTTCTTGAACCACTCTGAAAGACCTGGGAATATAATGGCAGATGGTAAGTTTAGGTCTAGTCTGTGTGCAGAATTGAATGGAAACCTCACTGTGGGTCTCCTCTCTTTGGGGCTGGTTTCCTCCTTTATTGGTATCTTCTGTGTACACATACAAGCACAGCCTTCAATTCTGAGCTAGGCCAGCAGGAGATGAGCATGAAAGATAGAGGAAGAAGCAAACACAGAGGAGCCCATGTGTCGATTCCTTTTGTGACTCTTTAAGTCACTCTGCCTTTTCAAACACAGCTCCGTCAATCTATCTGACAAGGCCCTAAAAAATTGCAGAAAAAAATGTGCTCAAGGTACAAACCATGGAAGTGAACAAATCAAACTTGCTTCTAAAATCCTTTCCTTTTAGGCCCTTAAAATATAGAATGAAGCTTGTCAATAATTATTTGTCCTTTAATGGACTTTATGCCTTTGTGCCACAATATTATGAAGTTTAATATATATTCACAACAGATATACATATGTCTTACACATATATATATATACACCCACATATATATATGTATGTACATACATATTTATTAAGCACATCATATTTAAGTGTGTAAGTTCTAAAGAGTGGAACTTAAGACCAAAATATACATTTTTGACAGCCTGGTATTTCTTTGATTCTCTGATATCCTTAGTACATGTTTCTGTTTCTTTAACTGATTATATCTATGGTACTAATGCCCTTTTCACTGTTTTTCAGGGTACATTAAAGATGTCCTCTAGAAGACAAAGCACTGAAGAAAGATTTGCCCAAGAGTCTCACCATGATTTTATATTATTTTCAATTTCTGTGCTTGTCTGACTTGATTCCTAGTTCTCTCAGTGCTGGTCAGGGGCTTGGAAATCCACATGGTAATAGCTCAGGTAGAAGTTATGGTTCTCCATGAGTACTATAGAGCGGTTACAAACTACACAGAAAATGGGTCTCTATTTAGATAAAAACAATGATTTTTCAAAGGGTTAACTTTTACCAAAGACCACTGGAAAAAGGCCCAGCCTTGATGCCTGGAATTTGTTAAAAATCCCTTTTTATTTTAATGTCATATATTAGTCATAGTTTTATACTTGGTACTTCAATGGCTTGGACTTTGAAAGTGAGCTCTAAAGTTTCTTTCATGCAGATTCATGACTGAAGATTACTACAAGTCTCTGAAGTCTTCCCAGGAAAGGATTCCATAGCATGGAAAATTGCCTATACTTGGAATTGTCCTTTCTACTATTTTCATGGAAGAAAACCTTAAAATGGGCATGTTATTTTAAGACCCACTTTGTTGTGTGTGTTCTAGCTTTGCCCTCTCAGATAGACCAGCAAAGTGTTAGCTTATTACAACTTTTCTCTGGGGCCACTAGAATTAAAATTAAAATAGTAAATAATTAGAAAATTTGAGTAGTTGTAATAATTACAGCAGGTTGACATAGCCTATCCATATATATGCAAACATTTTAGACTCTTTAGTTCTTGTCATTCAGTGGAAAAGAAACTTGGATTAAATTAATCTGCTGCTCACCTTCCTCAGTTCTAAGTTTGCAGTCTATGACAAAGCAGTACTTACAATTGCTCTTTAAATCACCACCTGTTTTTATTTTCTAATTGAGTATCAGCATATTTCCAAGTTGTTTTTTTTGTTGTTGTTGGTTGTGGGGCTTGAACTCTGGGCCAGAGCATTGTCTCTCAGCTCTTCAGGTCAAGGCAAGCTCTCTATCACTTGAGCTATAGTGCCACTTGCAGTTTTCTGGTGGCTTATTGGAAAGAGTCTCATGGACTTTCCTGCCCCAGCTGGCTTTGAACTGTGATCCTCAGATCTCAGCCTCCTGAGTAGCTAGGATTACAGGTACGAGCCACTAGCGCCCGACTTCCAAGGAATTTTGATTTCCTTGAAGGCACCAACATTCCAATTCCCCCAAAGGGCATTGGCTGCATTCTCTCCAAGTAAGAAAGTCAGAACAGGGGCTGGGAAGGTGGATCAGTGATAGAGTGTTTGCCTTGCATGCATGAGGCCCTGGGTTTGATTCCTCAGCACCACCAGAAAAAACCAGAAGTGGTGCTGTGGCTCAAGTGGTAAAGGGCTAACCTTGAGCTGAAGAGCTGAGGGACAGAGCCCAGGCCCAGAGTTCAGGCCCATGACTGAACAAAAAAAAGAAAGAAAGAAAGAAAGAATAAAAAGCAGCCATTCTTCAGCCAGACTAGATGTGAGTCCTTTCCTTTTATAAATGACTTAATACTTATCCTTAACCCAAAACTCTGGATTTAGTTTAAGATGAATCAATATTTTAGTTTTGTCGGCAGTGATGTATTAGTAGTGTTGTTTAAAGTCCTCCCTGATTTGATTACATAGACAAGGTTGAGAATTCACCTAAATGCATGTTGACTTCCCTTCCTTCCCTCTGTGTCCCTGGGGACAAGGCATACGAGACTGTTCATTTTAATGAATCATGGTGTCATTCAATAATAAAATAATTCTACTGGGCCAAACTAGTAGACTATCTAGTAGACTAGATAACAGTTTGTTCATTTGATCAGGATCCCCAGTATCACTTTGAATTAGTTCTTTCTTTGTCTCATACCTGTTAATTACAAACTATAGGTCTGTTACCTATAAGGTAATTCTGATGTATACCGAAGTCTGGAAACTGTTCTCCTGGAACTGTTCTGCATTTGTGTTGAGGATTAGTCTTAGATGGAAAATGAATTTCAGGAGTAATGTTATTTTTCCTTATTTCTGTCTTCTCTCTGTCTCCCTTTCTATTTGTCTGTTTTTTTCTCTGTCACTCTTTCCCTTTTGTGTAAGAAATAGTAAGTAATCATTATGAAAATGGTGAATTCACCCTCATGTTCATTTTTCTTATGGTTTTATTGCAGTACATGTGAACTACTGCTGCACTCTCCCTACTGAAGAATTAGTATTAACAAAATTTATTTCTTCTGTTTTTCTAAGGTTTTATGAGGGGATTTCATCTAAGTTACATCTGATTTCATTTATTACTGAATTGTATTATTGTGGTGTTCTATAATATATATATATATACATACATAGTATAGAATATATAGTGTATATATATATATATATATATATATATATATATATATACTTATATTTCAGCCTTAGCACTACAGGGCACTTTAAAGGCACAGCATCTTATAGAAGAGATTGTAAACTTGTTAATCACATTGAAAAAATAAGTTTTGTATAATGTGCTAAATGGAAATTGCATGGGTTTATTTTTATATTTAACATATTTCCTCAAAACATTCTGTAGCAAAATTCTATAATCTGCATGTGAAATTCAGTGTTGTGACATTTTGATTAAGTGAATTCTTTCTCTGCAAATACTACACTGATAAAATTATTATGTCCACCTAATGGATTTTCCCTAGTTTCTTTATTATTAAAAACATAAATAAACATTTATGGATATGTCATGTTAATTGTTCTTTGTAAATATGAGTAGACTTGAAAAACCATTTGTGTTTTTTCCACTTCATGTTGAATTATTACAGCAAAAAATTAATTTTGTTGGGCTGTACCTTTGAGTGTATGTGTTTAGACTGTATTCATACACATCTTTCACATATGAATGTCAGAGAGGAAAATTATTCCCACTAATTTAGAGATGAGTAAACAGAAGCTCAATACACTTCAATGCTATCTAAAATAATGACCACCTTGAGGTCATCTAACTCCAAATTCTTTTTTTTAGGGGGGGTTGATTTTAAACACATATACTTCTTTCAGGAAGACACATCTTAGATACTAGGACACTAAATAAGAATGTTTTGGTTTACTTGTAGAAGGCCAAAAAACTTATTACTATATCCTGTGATAGTGAGAAAGAAGTTGTTTTGCTTCTAATCAGTGTTAAATCAAAGAACAAAGATGAAACAATTGACGAGAAAAGCCAAAGCAAATATAGGAAGAATTAGGCTTTGTACTTGAATTTCTTGAGGTGAGCCTTTTCTATGGCTTTATAAACTCTTGTGTTGTAAATTTAAAGTACAGTTGAGTTCTTTAATCTTTCTAAATCAATAATTTTGCCACAGTGATTGCCCTTGGAAAATGATTGTTTGAACAAAGAAGAGAAAACCTTAAAGGAGTTTCATCTAGTGAGTGAAATATTCCAACAGGCTCAAGGACAGCTCACAGGAGGCCACTTCTGACCTTGGGTAATATTTCTTCCCTGGAGTCTGTATGATTCAACAGTGTCATTTAAGGAAAAAAGAAATTCCCTCATCATGGCTAGCTGAGCAGGTGCAAGAGAACAGGAATAAATAAATATAGCTGGAAGTCTTTAAAAGTCATCACTCTCAAGCTCATACTTCTGTTAACTTATTTTTTTTTACTGTTCAGTCTTTGTTCTTCTTTAATATTACATCCAGTAACACATGCTCTTGGAAACAACTGGAAGTTCATTCTATGAGGTGAAATGCTAGAGAGTTAGGAAAGCACCTTCCTTTGTAATTTCTTTCAGAAGCACCAGACAGTTTAGTCATCTATGCAAAACTTAACAGCCTTAACAATATTTTATAATACTGCAATATCTCTATTTTTACTAAGGAAAATGAGGTATGCCTAGAAAATTAGAAGGCCAGATGAGCCGGATCCATAGTTGACCTCCTTTGCACATGATTTCTGGTTTTTTATTATATACCTACTTGCAATTAAAAGCCACATTAATGCCTCATAAATTATGGAAGAAATCACAGTTTTTCAATACTAATGTGATGCATTCATACTCGAGCCCCTGAAAAACTGAGAATACTGGTGTGAGATCACCATGGGAAACTGAAACTTTCCAGAAGTTTACTGATGCTATTTGCAGATATTCTGAATGCACTTTGTCATAAAATTATATTCAGGACAAGTTACAAGTCAAGGTCTTCCCTTTAGCCAATTCCACCCCTCTCTTCACCATGGAGACTAACTCTTTATCCTCTTTCTGATTTAGTGTGGGTCAGTGTCTTGGAATAACA